AAACCCACAAGTTCATTTTCAGCATTGGTCTATTGCACCTTTCTAGTTAGGGAGGGAGGAAACAAATTTGACTTCAGACAAGTTCTCATGATCTTGTAGTTCCACAATTATTCTAGTCATCCACTCCCAATGATTTCAATGCGCTTTTTTCACATTTCCGTGCTCACATAGACCCCACATTGAATCTTTCTGAATAGCACCTCTGATTTCTGTCCCTTGGTTCCATTTTTACAGCCACCAACTCACTTGAGTCTTATTTAGTTTATATGTGCACAGTGTATTTTCTGAACTGTTTGCCTCAGACTTCTCCACTCCAACTGTCTCCTTCTAATTCATCCTCCCAGACTTAACTTTACATAACATGTGTTTATTTATCCTCCCTGTGCAAAAGCATCGGTATTCCCAGCAGCCTATCGGGATACTATTCGAACCGTTTGACATTCAGGATCTATAACCACCTGATTCCACCTTGACTCTCTACCTCACTTTCTCTAAGATCCTCTATCCAGTTAACTGGGTTTTCAGGGAGTTCAAACCTATGAATACATACTACTCTTTGCCTCCTCTGTGTTTCTGTGGTTGCTTTTGCATCAGAAAAGACAGTCGCCTTTATTTGCACCATTATTTTGGAGCTGACTTGCTCATTTTTTTTTTTTTTTTTAAAGAACAAGTTCTTAGGGGGGAAAAAAAACCTGATAAGAGCTCTATGGGAAAGGCACACGCAGCTTGGGAAGGAGTTAATACACTCACCATTTAAGCTCTTTGGAGCTTTACTTTTTATTATTATTATTTTAAATGAATGACTCCTGAGAAAGAAATAAAATTCCTTTTTCAGGGTAGCTAAGAAAAGACTATGCAGTCTTGATTACAGCAGAGTGGAAAACTGTTGTAAGTGGCCATTATTTTCTCATAAAGTTTTATCGTAACGCCAAATACTTCAAAATTTACAAGTCCATAAAGGCTAATCTTTTTTTACTTTGCTTTCAACAAAGACAAAACTGGAAATGCATATGTTTTCCTGAAATAAAAGCCTTATCTGAAACCAGATTCCTCACATTCTAGAGTGATAACATCTTCAAAATACAAATATTTCCGTTCATGCAACATTGGTAATCCCCAGGCATATTCTGATTATTAAATCCTAGCGCTACTTTTATTAAAGGTCTTTTTAGGAAAGTAAGACTGTATTTTGTTTGGATAGTACTTCCCAAGGAGGGAGTCTTATGTTGGGTTCCCTAGAGGTAGACCTCCAAGCGTGGGTTCACGCACAAATGGTTTACTCAGGAAGTGCTCCCAAGAGAAGCTGGTAAGGGATGGGGGAGAAGGACAGGAAAAGGGAAGCCATGCACAGTTGTAACTTCAGAGAAAGTTCTTCGGAGGGTAACTTCAACCTCATCCCAACAAAACCTCTCCAACATGAGTTACACTTGAGAGTTTTCCCCCAACCCACTGCAAGGGGACAGAACTTTACACTCGTGAATTTAATGGTTCCCATCCAGGCAGTGGCTAGGGGTTTCTGGTGGTAGGTACAAATCCCATACACGTCTCACTCTCTGTGACTATAGGAGAAGTACGTGCAGTAGCCAAAAGTAGTCATCAGAAGATGAGTCACACATGTGTGAACGGTTGGAGGCAAAAAATACCTCCGGGGCAGAGATAGATATAGGAGAAGGGGCCTGAAGGGATACGGATGAAGCATTGGCGGTGGCCACCGGACAGTGCTTCTGATATCCTGGAGCCAGAAAATTCCTACAAATATGAAATTCTCAGTAATTATTTGATCAACCAACAATTATTAAGAGCAGTGTGACCGCGGTCATGCTACTTTTCTTTGTCTCGATTTCGTCTTCAAATAAATAAACGTACCCGACAGGAATCGTATGAGTATTGCACGAAGTAATATGCAGTCAAGTATTTCAATCGCTTCATAGTGAAGCGGAAGTGAGTGCTTATTCATTTTAATTTTTTAACTTCTTTACAGTTAGCATTGTGATTGTATATATGTAGGCAGTGGGCTTCTCTTAGTGTCATGATACATTCATGCCAGATTACAATGTATGCATGAGATGCGAATCATACTGGGGTGATATGAAGGATACATTTTTAGGAACATATCAAAAGATGGCTAAACTGCGCAAGAAAAGGAAGGGAAACAGGAGCTCGGTCATACATAGCAAAAACAAAAATATAACTCATCTTGCCACTGATGTAGAAAAAAAATAGGAGTTAGAGGTTTGCCTACCATCTGAATTTATCATTTTGCATCATTTTAAACTCTAAATTTACCTATAAGTCAAGAAGATTTAGATCCTTTGTAGGAACAGTTATGGAAAAAAAAAACACTAAGAGAGTTTGGTGGAAGGAAAGAAATAGTAACGGAAAATGCAAGATATTCAAACTTTCTTAAAAATTAAAGAAAAGGCACCATGGAGTCACCTTTATTAGCACCGAGAAATTATGTTGAACCACATAAAATCACCAACACTTGGACTTTTTGACCTATGAAGACAGCAATTTCATATGACTCAACCTAATACCTGTTGGGAGACAGTCATCTATGGACTTCTCTTGCTCCTACGCATCTTGCTGCCTATGCCAAGGATGCAAGGTTCTGACCACTCTTCAGCTGGCCCGTTTCTCTGAGTTGTGTTTGCAGCAAGCAAGCAACTGTGAGTGATAAGGAAGTGTCTCCTTCTGGGATAAAGAGCAGTCTTGCTGACTGCTTGCTGTAAAAGCAGTGAAGTGCTCAAGCTCAATGTTTCTTTCCTATGACACCACTCACTGCAAGAGCAGGTGTCATCTGGGCTCTTTTGGAACTTGAGAGCAAGAGGAACCAGTGCAAATATGTTGATGCTCAAGCTGCTTATTGCGCCGTGAGTAATGTTGTCCTGTGTCTCTGACTCAGGAGGCGCATGTCTTTCAACATCGGTGAAACAGTGACAAGCTAAGTTCTTAGCTTTAAATTGGGGTAATATCAAATCCCAGACCCAGCAACATCACAGTACAAACTTGAGACACTCTCAAGTTTGCATTAATTACATCAATGGTGAAGTTTCCCCGACCTACTGCCATTTAAGACCAGGAAGTTGAAAGCTTCCTTAAGAAAGATCTGTGTGGGGAGTGCCTGGGTGGCTCAGTAGGTTGAGCATCCGACTTCGGCTCAGGTCATGATCTCGAGGTTAGTGAGTTCAAGCCCCCGCATCGTGCGTGCTCGTGCTCGATGCTTTCAGTGCTGAAGCTGTCAACTCAGAGCCCTCTTGGGATGCTCTGTCCCCCTCTCTCTGCCCCTCCCCTGCTTGCATGCGTTCCTGCTCTCTCTCTCTCTCAAATAAACGTTTTCTTTTTTTTTAAAAGAAAGATCTGTGTGGTTGTTTATCACCTTTAGATCTTTGCTCTTAGGATCCTTTCACAAGAAGTAAAAAAACTTCCAGAAAAAGTAACATACATGTCCTAGCCCTCAGATCTCCTCATGCTCTCAAAGCCACGGGAAGCCCCCCAAGAAAGCTATGATTGTGTCCTAGACTCTTGGGAGAATCCATGTAGGAGGTTTCAGGCAAGCTAATAGCTTGCATTTCCATCTGCTCCCTTCTAATTATATTTGTCCATAGGCTCAGTCTTTAGACATGAATTAAGTTTTGTAGGTCAGAGTTTCTATAGACTTGGAGGCTCAAATTGTTAAAAGACAACCATAGAAAGTAAAACACGGGCTAGATTAAGGCTGATAACCTGTGTCCCGAGGCACAGCTCCTTGGCTTTCTTCTTGAATATGGCACTGGTGGTCACAGTAGGTTTCTTCCCTCCTGTGTTGACTACTGAGGACACCCTACCGTTTTCTCCTGACAATGCCACAATTGTGGAGTTGGCATTTTCATGTAAATAGCTGCTTTCTGATTCATTAAGCCCTATTGCCCTTGACATTTTTTTTTTCTTTCTGACCCTCATTAGCCGCACACTGGCAACACAGGAAGAAAGAAAGAGGGCAAAGAAAGGCAGTAAAAGGGTTACGACCAAGAAGTATATTGTGACTGTGACCAACAAGGAAACTTGGAAATGGGTGACTGAACACCCAAGGATGCTCTGTCGGCTAGTTACAGCCACAACATTTGTTCAAAGCCTGACAAGTGCTTAGCACCATTTCAAGGTGTCACATAGAGATACATAGGAAATGACAGTCATAGACACTACCTTAAGAGCACTTACAGTTTAATAGACAAGATAGTACAATTAAATGCCTGTATTCCCATGCATGTACGATCCGGCCCTTGCTTACCTCTCTACTTACTCTTTATTTCTCTCATAGTATCTGTCACAAGCTACAATATTCAGTTTATTTATTTGTGTTCTTAATCATTACGGCTCCCCTGAGCTGAGATTTGCCTTGTATGCAACAGGGTGTCCATTCCAATTATTTACGGCTACCATCCCCAATCTCACCCACTGAAATAGAAATTCCCAGAGGACGGGGACCATGTCTATCTTATTAACCACTGTAAGCCCAGAGCTTAGCAAAATGTACCTAGCAGATTCTCAAAAAAATTTTTCAAGTAAACAAACAAATAAAATATTGAATAAATTAAGGCAGCAACAGCTACATAGAGGGATTACGTAACATCTTCTGAGTGCCGCTAGTCATTCGATGATGCAAAATTAAGTGTGAACCTGGTTCAAAAACACAAGCAAATTTCTCAAAATATTTCGATGAGAAAAAAAAAAAAAAATCTCCAGGCCCTGAAACTGACCGCAGATGCGTAAGTGAGCGTGGCCAGGATCAGCAGACCTTCCTAGCTAACGGATAGATTCATGAGCCACTGAACTTTGGTCTGATCGTAGCAGTATTACAGCAACAGCTAACACTCTTTTAAAGTAATAAAAATTGATCACCAGCAAAACACACATGAAAATGCAAACGTGATTCGTCTTTATTGAAATGGGAAGTATCTTTGGTTAAATTATTTGATTCCTCCTTAACGATAGCCAAGCACCTTCGCTGCAACCACGTTCTCGTCACTGGGGCTGAGCCGGGCGTGGGGGAGCATGCGCTCAGAGAAGAGACATGAAGGAGAATAGCAGGCCCAGCACCACGGCGGAAGATGCTGCCTTTCCAGCACTGTCCGCGCCCCAGTATTTCTCAGAGACGTCATCCAGGACCGAGAGTATAGCTGCCATGCTCTCCTCGCAGGTGGCCTGAATCTGAGCTTCTGGCAGAACAAATCCGTATGTACCATTGTCCCGCAGCTCAAACGTGTATGAGAAGGGGATCCCGATGTCCCGAGCCCAGTCTCTTGAAGACCCGGATGTGGCATCTACAAACAAAAGCATGAAGGCAGAGGTAGAAGTTATACTGGGAAAGGACACGTCTCCATGGCCATTTCAGGGAGGAAAGGCTCGGTGCAGGAAAATGAGTAGACTTTTGCATAGTAAGGATTCATGGGTAGTTGTCTTCTCCCTCTCGTTGAAACGAAGCCCCCGTCGGGCAGGAATTACGTCGTGTCTAACTTCTCTGTTCCCTCTCGCCCGTCTCCCAGAGTACCTCGCATCATGCCCGGCACATAGCAGAGGACTAGTTCAGCTTCTCAGCGGAATCAGAAACTAGGAAAACCCAGCATTACATGGCAAGTGAACTGACACATAAAAGAACTGAAGCAAAATGAGCAACAGGGAAAATATTATGCAAATATCATCCAGGTGGTCCTCAGGTGGGTGGGAGATGTGGTGGCTGAGGATGGGGAAAAGCAGTGCATTGTCCTTTTAACGAAATTTTGTATTGTCTTAGATCTTTTCTCCGAGCCCCACCTGCTTTGCTTTCTCAGCCTGATAGGTCCTCTGAGAACTGAATCAACTGACCAAGGGTCACTGGAAAATGTCCTTCCTGTTAACTCCTGTACCTTCTCACTTGCCAGCTCTTTTTAACTGAAGCCAGAGGGAGTTCTGGTATGCGCCAGTGTATTAATTTTTTTTTTTTTCTTTTAGCTCACACCTTATCCCTAGAGAGCATAATTCTAGATTGGTACAGATTCCCTTTTATCCTCAGTCATTTTGATTTGTACAACTTCCTGTTGACCTCTGGAGCTCTTCCGTCCTTCTCCTGCCCATCCCACTCCCCAAAGTCCACTGGTTTCTTTTGTTCCTTAGATACTATTGAAGAGGAGAAAAAAAAAAGCTACTTACATAAAATATCTGCACTCGATCCAACTCTATAATTGGTTCCATGCTTTTCTTTCAATGCATTTGCTGCCTTCTGTCCAACTTGGATCTGTAGGTGGGAAATGCAGAGACAGATATCTGGTGTTAAAAATAAATCCAACAATCCAGAGGGTTTCATATTTTGTCCAAATCCTTTTCCAGAGTTCCAGACCGTCTTCCTAACTTCCTATTGGACCTCTATACCTAGGTAGCCTGCTGGTACCTCCGACTCAAAACATTCACACCCAATTTCATCATTCCCCCACTAATAAAGCTATTCTGGTTTCCATATTTCTGATGCCCCATGCTCCTGCAAACACATGTAAAATCTTGCCCTCACCTTTGACTCTCCTTCTTTCAAATGGTTACCAAGTTGCATCTCCAGTGCCATCACCCTATTTCAGTCTCATTACCTCTGAAATGGACTATCGTCATCTTCTAGTAAGTTTCCCTTCCTTTCACCAATCCTTATCCTAACCGATCTCCTCTGGCTTCCAGGTGAACTTCTATAGAGTAGAACTATGATCATGATCTTGCTCAAAAGCCCTACACTTAGCTGCCCATTGAATTAAGCCCAAGCTTCTCAGTTTCATATTTGAGGTTGTAGGCTTATAGAATTTCAGAGCTGGAAGCAACACCCTTCCTCACACCTACCACCATGTTACCTGACTACACGGGAAATCCGTCAGAACCGGATGATTTCTAATGTTTCAACCTTGCTCTCTGCAGACCCTTTTCTGAGATCAGAGCCACCAATACTGAGAGATCAAGTGCATTGGCTATGTTTAGTAGCCTTCTGATAAATCTCCTCACGTACCCTTTCAACAGTCTTCTCTAAGTATTCTCCACCCCCGACTCCCTGTTTCCCCTTAGATTCTACACAAACACCACCCAAATCCTCCTACCACTCCCTGCCTAGACTGGGATCTACCTTGGCTTTCTTTACCTCTTAGGGCAGCCTGACTGCTCTTGCAGATGCATCAGTTCCCCTGACTTCTGACTAGGGATGAGTCTAACTTTAAATCTTGTCTTTTCCTTCCTGGTCCTGTGTTGTCCAGCTGAACCCTAAGGTATGACAGAGTGGCGCTTGGGCAGAGTAGGGATAGGCACAATGAAATTCAAAAGGAAGAGTAAAAAAGGTAGTAAGTCGTGGTGGGTCACATACAGCAGTTGAGAGCAGCATCCTCAGGGTATTTGGGACTTTCTGTGTGTGGTGAAAATAGAAGAAAAAACATTCAACTGAACATATGTATTTAAGATTTTCGCCTCTTTACTCAATACTGAGAATTCCGTCTTGGGCCATTCACCTTCTCTCTCTCTTCCTGAAAAGAGATTCTACATCTGGCTTCGTTCCTGGTCTCACGTTGTCCAGCATTGACATGATGGGTAGTAAGGGCTAAAGACGCACAAGAAATAAAGCTGGTTTTCATCATTAACACTGCAAAGGGGTATACGAGTTGTCTGTAGAAGAAGAGAAAATGATAAGAAGGAGAAGAAAGTCAGAGAGGGGATTTCTGGGGAGAGAAATTCTGCTAAGGAAATAAAAATGAAAGGTGAAGAGAAAGGATCAGGGTAGTTGCTATCCGTAAGTGAAATGAACAGCCAGGGGAAACAATTTCTGTGATTTACCAACTACAGTTCCTTTCGAAGTTCTTTCAAAGTCCGGTAGAGACACAAATTGCTTTTAATTATTTGTCATTCCTACGTGTCTCTGCATTTCTTTGAGTGAAACTACATGCTAACTGGTCCGTGTGGGCCTTAACTTGTATTTGGATTATATGGACCAGTTCCAGGCTACATTTTCCTTCCAAATGGCACTTGGATTTTTTTTTTTCTTCTGCAGTTCACCCCAGATGATGATTTCCCTCTTCTGATTGCCAGCCATTACTTATTTTATCCTACGTAATTCCTTTCCCTCAAATCCTGGCTGTGAACTTCTGATTTTTTTTTTTTTCAATGATTCCATTAGCAATTCTAATGGGGAAGTCGATAGGAGTAGGAAGAATAACATAGAATAACATATAGGAGAAGTATACAATGGTGGCCCTAGCTTATAGACTTGGTCCTTTCCAAGAAGATAAAATAAAATGCGAAGATTCTGACTTCTATCTTTAGGGGTGGACCTCCTGATTATTCTTCCCTCTTCTTTTGACACTATACCCCAAGGCCATACAGAGCCAATTTCTCTGCTGCCTTCTTCTCAGCCTACAGGAACTTCAGTCAAAATAATAAAAATCCCTTTGCCAGTAGCACATAGTTTACATTTCTAAAGACCTCAAGCCTCCTTCATAACTCCTTCACTGGGCCCAGAGAATTTCCTATAGTCGTATACGCCCAGGCAGACACACACAAAAAAGGTTGATAAGGCCCTGGCATGTGTGTGGGGGGATGGAGCTTGGGATGGAATCTAGAAGTTGAGAAGGAAAGGGTTCAAATGAAAGAATGTCCGCATTTAAAACATTAGAATTTTTACAGCTATTCTAATTTCCAGAGCCATTTAGAACAGGCCTATATATAGTTATGTTTCCCCTACTTAGTGATTGCCAAGTTGTCTATCATGCAGTGTAATATTTATCATGATTTCTACAAATTTCTGGTTTTGTAAATATATGGAGATTAATTGCTAGTCTCTGGTAGTTGTAAATAGTACCCAAACTGGAAATCTCCTTAAACACTTGGCTTGATTCCATGCCTCTGTGCACTCTATCAAAGCTTACCCTTAGGTTCTTAACCCAAAACCACTGCTAGCTAGCTTCAACAAGGTTGACACAAGGTGGCAAAAATTTCACACTGTCTTTTTTAGAGATGATTGTTTATGCTAACTCTTCAGCTCCTGAGACTATAAGAGATACAGAATTGAAGCAACCTTTCTCAATTCAATGTCCCAGTTTCTGCCTGTCGTCCTAAAGTGTTCTCGGTAATTCCCACCTTGGAGTTACCGTTCAGCAGTGGTGATATCTGTGTGACAGGTCTCTCCTGCCCTCTTGCCTCTTCTAGCCTGTGGCCAGAGGGCTCTAACCAGAGAGCCAACAGCACAAGAACCTCTCACCTTTGCATACAGACCTTGCAAAATGGTCACCTAGTATCTGTTTTCCTGAGCCACAAAAGGAACAAAGTTCCCTAAAATTATACCGGGGTTACAGGCTGCTTTTTTATTTTGCTGGTGGAAGGCGTGTCCCATCAAAGATCTATAACGGCCTGTCTTTGGTGGTTCATTTGTGTTTGCCACAGATCCCTTTGGGCAGAAAGTAGACATCTACAACAAATGCCACAGAAACTGGGATATAAAAAGGGTTCTGGGCATCTCAGCTGAAAGCCCTGTTTCTACAGTTTCCTTTGCTGAAGAAATGAGATTTCTAGAGCTCAGGGATAGGAAGAACTAGGACACAGTGGTCTGGGCATCTAAGTTGATAGGAGTTCCTAGAAGTTGCAAGCCGTTGAGAGCAGAGAGGCAGTATGAAATGACTAAATGAATGTAGCCTCTGGAGTCTGAAGACATGAGTTCCAGTCCGGACTCTACCAACCACTGTCTGGGTCCCGAGGCCTCTGTGATCGCAATAACAAGTGTTGATGAGCATGTGGGGCAATCGGAACCCTTGCACACTGTTGGCCGGAATAGAAAATGGTGCAGTCCCTATGGAAAACAGTATGTTCCTCATAAAATTAAAAATGATTCATCGATTCATCTGATGATTCATCGATTCCATGTCTGGTGGTATACCCCCAAAATTCAAAGTGGGATCTCAAAAGAATATCTTTGTATACCTATGTTCATAGAGGCATCGTCTGCAATAGCCCAAAGGTGGAAGCAATTCAAATATGCACTGATGTATAAAGAAAATGTGATACGTACACATGATGGAATACTAAGCCTTAAAAAGGAAGGGGATTCTGACATATGACACAACATGGATGACCCTTGAGGGCATTATGCTACAGGAAATGAGCCCGTCACAAAGAGACAGATATCACACGATCCTACTTGTAGGAGGTTATCTAGAGCGGTCAAGCTCCTAGAAAGTGAAAGCAGAGTGGTGGTCGACTGGGAGCTGTTTTTAATGGGTAGCGAGTGCCAATTATGCACGACAAAAGAGTTTTCTCGAGATTAGTTGCACAATAATGCGAATACACTAAACACTCCCGAACTGCCCGCTTAAAAATGGCGAATTTTAGGTCATTCCAATTTTGTCATAATTAAAAATCGAAAAAAAAAAATAATGCTTTACAAAAGATACCAAGCGTTCCAACAATTCTAAATGTCCTCTCCCTTTACTTTGTGTCTTTTGTCCTCGGGTTCCTGAAAGGGCAAAGACACCTGTCCTTTTCAGCACTTTTGCCCGGTGCTCGGGTAAACACAGCTTCAGAAGAGCCAGGTGAGACAAAGTGCAGTTTCCCTGCCCGGCTTGGGCCTCGTGGGCGCTCCCCCTTACAGACATTCCTAGGCAAATACTAGAAGCAGAGCTTAGAAGAAAATAAAGCATTGTGTTTAGCAGAGAAGAGAGCAGATATTATTTAGCCATGTTATTTTAGATATGCCATATTCCACTAACAGCTGGCAAGTTCTTTAAAGCACGGTTCAAAAGCTATAATTGCTGAACGGAGCTTCAAGAGAATTTACAGAAATGAAAGCACATTCCTGCAGATTATTAACATAATCGTCTCATTTATATTAGAGACGAATACCTAAGATGTCTCCCAACTTGACACTTTGTGAAACAGGTAGTTAATTAATGTAGGTAAAGCAGCATTTAACCTGAAGCCTTCCCAGCAGGCGTCTGGCAAGGTGTAAAAAGCAGACGAAAGAAAATAAGGAAGAGCGGGGAGAACAAAAGCGGGGCTGGAGCCAAAATCTCGAAAATGGAAACCGAGGAAAGGAAGGCAGGGGTCCCATGGAGGCTTTTGTTAAGACTCCGCTGCTGTGGGCTTACCAGCTCCTCGTGGTTACTGGACTTATTTTTAGTGTAGCCATAAGGAGTGAGAATGAGCTGCCCAAAAGAGTGCATGGTCAGGAAGCACACGATGTTGTCCTTCTTGCTCTCTATAAAGCTGGAGACAGCTTTTGTCTCCGGTTCCGATACCGGTCCTGTCCCGCAGAACGTTATATCTTGGCAGTTTCTAGATGCGCCGATGCCTGGAATATACGGGACACCACGGGAAGGTCAACATGATGCCAGCTGAGAACTGAGAACAAGGAGTCACCCTTGCTCAGGGCAACCCGTGGGTGGAATCAGGGTTTTTCCTGGCTTGTCGAAGTTAGTTCCGGTTAAATTCGCGAACGAGGATGGTCACTCAAGGAGGAACTCAGAAAGGCGGGACGGCTGGCGTTCAGACTTAGAGACAAACTCCACGTTTCCATGGGCTGCGGAGGGCGATGCAAAATGAAATGGCATTCCTTTTACTTAAATCTGTGCGGGGTCCTGAAACAGACGTTTGGGAACCAGTTCGTGGGTTCCTAGGTCAGGCTCTGCCATAGCCTTATTGGCCTAAGTCTCTTTCACTGACTTTCTGGCTTCCATATCATGAGAGTTATTTTGCAAGGACGCAGTAGCCTGTTCTCACTGATAGTATAAGGACCATCAGCCGCACACCTTGTCCGCACTGGGCACTGTGGTTGGCTCCTCCTCTGTGGAAACTGATCAAATCTCCACAACAATCTACCGATTGGATGGTATGACTACGGGCCACATTTTATTATTTTATTTTATTTTATTTTATTTTATTTTAGCTTAGTTTAGTTTAGCTTAATTTAGCTTAGTTTAGCTTAGTTTAGTTTAATTAATGAATTTATTTTGAGAGAGAGAGAGGAGGGGAGGGGCAGAGAGAGAGAAGGAGAGAATCTTAAGCAGGCTCCACGCTGTCAGTGCAGAGCTCGACTTGGGGGTTTTGCATCTCAGGAGCCATGAGACCATGACCTGAGCCGAAATCAAGAGTTGGATGCTTAACCAACGGAGCCACCCGGGCACCCCACCCCCCCCCCAGGCCACATGTTAAATAAGAGAAAACTAAAGCAGAGAAAGATGAAGCAATTTTTCCAACACCATACAGCTGTCAAGTCTGAATTTTAACCCTTATCATCTGGTTTTTAACCAGACTGCTCTGAACTATTTTTTTACCTCTTTATTTGCTTCTGATTCCTTGGGCATGTTGAGATTCAGAAACATGAAAATGCTTTAAGAAAGAAATGTTTGCCTTATTTACTTCTGCCTCCCTGCTATAAAAATAATCTGCATGGATAATTCTCTGACTTTTCTTTTCTTTATGATAATTCGTATATTTAAAAATAAGGTGTGGGGCACCTGGGTGGCTCAGTTGGCTAAGTGTCCGACTCTTGATTTCAGCTCAGCTCATGATCCCATGGTTCATGAGAAAAACCCAGCATTGGGCTCCATATTAATAGTGTGTAGCCTATTTGGGATTCTCTCTCTCTCTCTCTCTCTCTCTCTCTCTCTCTCCCTTTCTCTCTCTCTCTCTCTTTCCCTCTCTCAAAATAAATAAACTTAAAAAAAAGAATTGAAGTTTTAAAAAATAAGTAAAAATAAGGTGATAGATTTCAAACATATTCACTTTGATCTAGGTTTTCTTTGCCTTTGTTTACCCCATCCCACTTGATGAGAGTCCTGCATTTGAGTGTTGCTGGTTCTTACTATATAGATGTCATTCCTTAGAACAAAAACAAGAAGTCCAGAGAGTTGTGCAAAATTAGCTGTCTACTTTTGTAAATTATATCTCTAGTAGTTCACCTCGGTCCTAGCTTCTCCTCTCTGTTTTTTGTTCAGCAGGTCATCTACTAAACATGTACTTACTGCACCATGATACATTGAAATTTCGATTGAGATCTGTCCCAAAACATGTGCCATTATTGTGTGATGAACGGGATTTCCTCCAAAGCCGATCCTGTAACAGAGGAACACAGAAATGCTGCTGTTCTAAGGTCTCATAAATCACAGTGTTGGTAATGATTAGGTGGCTCTCAAACATAAAAATATTCTCTAGGATTGTCTGGAAAAACTTGCCTTTAACATAATGAAGCTTGTGCATGTAATTTTTAGTCTCACAGAGGGGCCAGCAACCCCCAATAACAGAAACATCTGTACAATCCAAGCGTACCTACATGTAAACCATCAAATTGGAGGGAGTATGGCCTTTTCCTCATGAGCAGATGAGCAGTGCCTGGTGCACGTGATCTGCTTAATCAGGGATAGCTTTAGAGAGTCATTTTTTATGTCCGAGTGATACAGGATGAAAGGTAAATAGCTTGGCAGATGGAAAAGGGCTGTTCCAGGTGTATCAGTGATGGTCTCTGCACATTTCTGGAAGCAAAAGACTGATGAGCAGAGATGAAGATAAAGACAAGTTTCTCCAGACAAGCTCAGAGGAAAGAATTTGATTCACACCCACGCTGAAAGCCTATTGCAGAGAAAGGGGTCCCAGGAACAGCTTTTGGAGGAGCAAAGGGAGAGAGGGAGGGATGGATACTCTTTAGAAACAGGGCTTCTTGTTTGTGGAGTGATATGCTTTAGTGAGATTTTAAAGAGGAAGCTTTCTACTAACTAAAAACCTTACAAGATATTGGTTCCCTGTGTGAATGATCACAATGAAAAATGAAAGTTGGGTTAGAGTTTATATATCATTTGTGCCCCTCATGCTTCAAAACTAGGTGGATACTAGGCAGCATATGAATCTTACACCAATCTGGCAAGCAATCCCCAAACTTTAAGGAGGTGGAGTTGGAGTTGGAGAAACGTTAACTCTGGCTGGAAAACTGGGGATACGTTAAAAACAAACAAACATAAAAATATGTGTTGGATTTCAACTGCAAAAAGACCTCAGCTCTCTCAATCCTAAACCTGATGTAGATTGTTGGCTTAACATTATTGAGTTGATTTTTATTCCAAATGGGGTTTCTTTCTTTCCATGGCCACAAAACATGTTGGTCGCTCCAACGACTAAGGTCAGAAAAACAAACCTGAGTCAAGATCTAGTTCGTGAACTCATTCCAGAACCAGACTCGACATACTCACAGTTGTCCAAGTGTAGATATAACCATCTATGTTCAGAACGGGAAGCACATAAAAGTCCAGGTTTCTAAGCAACTTTTTTATCCTTGAGTCATCTTTATAGTTCTGTAGAATCTGAAAATTTAAGAGAGAAACATTTGGAATGCTCCTGGGAAGAGATATTTTCTTTCAATTTTCTAACAATTTCAACTTAATTACAAGAGGTGATTGCATATGGAACTTCTACCCTTCTACCCTCCAGCCTGCCTCAGTTGTCCTGTTTGTTATGGCAGTGGTTCTCAAGCTTCATTGTGCATCAGAATCACCTGGAGGGCTTGTTAAAATATACACATCCAGGCTCTCTTCCCTCATTTCCATCCCCTACCCCTAATTCCCTAGGTCTAATGTGGTAAGAATTTGCATTTCTAACAAGTTCCCAGTTATGTTGATGCTGTTGATCTAGGAACCGCACTTTGAGAACTACTCTTTGTAGGTATCTCTCTGTTGGTCTCTCAAGACTTATAGGGTCCAGCTAATAGGTAACAATTCACTGAGCAAGGTATTTTCCACATGCTAAATCTCTCCATCCATACAACAGACCCCCTGAAGAAGCCACTCCATGCTCCTTCTGCTGGTGAGAAAGTAGGGATCCTAGTGTTAGAAAAATTGCCCAAAATTATTTGAAAAAGACAGCACCAGGCTTTACTCATCTCTGACTTCCAAGGTGTATTGTCATATACATTTAGGTATGTTAACCTTCCAGTAAAAATTATTTGGGATCCACTAAAAAGAGATCAGAATACCTAACCCAGTTTTCAGTAAAGCTACTTATACATTCCATGTTCCTCGGGGTGAAGGAGTAATTCATGCCTACATGTGAAAGAAGCATGCTTTCTAAATAGCTGTTGTGACAGGTATTTTGTTGGGTGGTTAACCATTATAAGAAAACTAAAGAGGGACGCCTGGGTAGTTCAGTCATTTGAGCGGCCAGCTTCAGCTCAGGTCATGATCTCATAGTTTGCGAGTTTAAGACCTGTGTCTGGCTCTGTGATGACAACTCAGAGCCCGGAGCCTGCTTTGGATTCTGTGTCTCCCTCTCTCTCTGCCCCTCCCCCCTCTCAAAAATAAATAAGCATAAAAATAGAAAAGGACCGAAAAGGAAGCTAAAGACACTTACTTCTTTCACAAACCATTGGCAAAAAGCTGGGGCAATCCATTCCCTGGCATGAATTCCACAGTCCATCCAAATGATCTTCTTGGGATTATTGGATGGTTGGCTGATCTGGAGAGACATTCATGCTCTGTTACCAAACAATTGCTTATAATCATAAGCCACTGTGCAAAGTTATCAGGGTTTGTTTATTCCCCCACAGGTCCCTTTCGTCCTCAACTCTGTGGTTCCAAGCACGAGGCAGGGATGATGGCAGAGACATTTACCAATATACCAATATGACCCTTTCCATGGCTGCCCTTGCTCTCCTGCTAGGTACCTTGGCTGCTATTCTTAGGACCATATTCTGACTCCCCATGTCCCCCACCCAAAGCCTGGCCTTCCCTTCACCCCTATTTCCTAATTATAAATAAAGGCAGAAACCCCCAAGTTATAAACCAGGAGACCAAGTCTTTATAAACCTTATAAAGGCTTACCACATAGGATTCACTCAGAGTGGTAAAGTACCTACAAGAGGTAAGGTTCAAGTAGTTAAAAATGAATCCGGGTCTTCATTTAAACTTCTTGGAACTGTTGGGGTGCCTGGGTGGCTCAGTCGGTTAAGCACCCGACTTCGGCTCAGGTCATGATCTCATGGTCAGTGAGTTCGAGCCCCGTGTCGGACTCTGTGCTGACAGCTTGGAGCCTGCTTCAGATTCTGTGTCTCCCTCTCTCTCTGACCCTCCCCTATTCATGCTCTGTCTCTCTCTGTCTCAAAAATAAATACTTTAGAAAATTTTTTTAACTTCCTGAAACTGTGAATGGATCCAAATACATAACCTCCTGCAATATCTACTAAATTCATTAACTTCCCCTATTCCTTAGAGACTCTTCCAATCCCAGTCAACCAAATCTTCTTTCCTTTCTCCCTGTGCCATTCTTGAACATCAGTTCAGCCTTACTCCAGTAAGAAAGACCCCCTCCTCTTTCAGAGGGGTGGGGTGAGTGGGGATTAACCTGGCAAGTGTGGATTCCCTTTGATGGAAAAGAGGTTGTGAACACTCCCAAGTTTGTAACAGTCATATCTGTTTTGAATGTAAATGGCCTAGACTCTAGTCATTGAAAGCCTTTGGAAGAGGTTGATCAAGACTCTCCCTCTTTATCGATGAGAAATTTACGAATTGAGATAAATACAAGACTGGATTCATCATATTCAAGGAACCTTTTCCCTCTAACCTCACCCATTTTCAAAACTGCCAGCATATTTCCTAATCCACCTTTTATCTTAACTCTCTTTTATAATTACCCCTTTTATGAGTGCGTGTATTTGGTGATTAGTTTCTTTTTATTGCTTCCTTATTCTTTAAAATATGCCCCAGGCGGAGGATATTTACACATCTTTTTTGGCTGACTTAGCTCAGAGTTTGATGGCCTATTGAAAATCAGGTAGGTAGTGAAAGAACCAATCATTCACTCGATTCCTGAGTAAATTCTAATTCAGAGCCAATACAACTTATTTTTTTGTAGTCATAGATAACTCTCATATTTGGGAATGTGCTTTGTAAATTAATATGTCTACAATAAGTGGTAATAGGGCAGTGAACCAAGGAATTAAGGTAATTCTCAGCCTTCTCACTCACCTTCAAATAATACATGGGCCGGGTCTCATAGGTCATTCCCAAGAAATGCTGGGTCACGACTTCTGCGTACTTCTCACTTATCTGGATCATCCACTGATAGATCTGAAACAGGAAGGACTGCGGATATCAATAAGAAAATCGTTTGCTTGCCTCTAATTAAGATAACTGCTTCTCTCATTAAGAAACTGAACTCTGGACTATTTGTTCTACATTACAACGACTGTGTGCTAAACAAACTACAAGACTCAACCAATAAACTACCACTGACTGCCTCCTATTTTCTTTAAAGATCTACTCTGCCACCCAATCTTAGAACACCTTATTGAACTTTACAAATCAATTATTGAGAATTCATAGTTTCAATAATCCACTGATAACAGGGGATATCCGAACATCATACTGGGGCAACTGGGTGGGGTGGCTCAGCCAGTTAAGCAACTGACTTCGGCTCAGGTCGTGATCTCACAGTTCATGGGTTTGAGCTCTGTGTTGGGCTCTGTGCTGTCAGCTCAGAACCTGAAGCCTGCTTCAGATTCTGTGTCTCCCTCTCTCTGCCCCTCACCCACTCATACTCTGTCTTTCTCTCCCTCTCAAAGACGAATAAACATTAAAAAAATTTTTAAAGAAACATCGTACAATAACACGTCCTTCAAATGGTCACACGCCTCTAGGCTTCCAAGTGGTACCCAATCATGCCAGAAGTTTCAGTCAGGCTTTTGGGGGATCTTTTTGGATCCCAGCAATATCCTTTGCTAATGCCCATGGATCCAAGATTAGAGAGGAGCTGGATATGCCCTTTACAGAACATGCCAATAGAAGTTCCTCAATCAATCCCAAATCAATCATTTTGATTCATGTGAGGAGACCTGAATGGATGTTGATTTAATTAAAAGTCTTATATCATGCTTGGAAAAGCAGGGTCTTATACCTTCACCTGTATGTCAGTACTATGGGATTCTATAATGGTGAATGGAATAAGGGAATTCGTAAACATAAAATATATTAGGATAGCCATTATCCTATTGAGTGTGGGACAGTCCCACACTCAGTATCTGTATAGTTGAAACATCTCTTCCATAAGAGTTATGGTAAACAGCAATAATTACTTTGGGATAACAAATATTCTATTCAAAGAATTTGTATCTCGATTGAGATACATGGAATATCTGTAGATAAAATTCGTTATTATAACACTAGTAATAGGTCAGTGGGGTTTTTTCAACTCAGTTCTGTTAACTGAAGAGAGCAACAGCTTATCACGTGGGTATTGTGCATGCTTCTTGATGGCATTGAGTCAGATGAAGGTGTCTTAAGCCGTGGGAGGGCTACAAATAACAGCACAGCAGCAGCAATTATGTCTTTGTTTAATTTTTTTAATGTTTATTTATTTTTGAGAAAGAGAGAGACAGAGTGTGAGTGGGGGAGGGACAGAGAGAGAGACACAGGATCCGAAGCAGACTCTAGGCTCTGAGCTGTCCGCACACAGCCCGATGTGGGGCTCGAACCCATGAACCCTGAGACCATGACTTGAGCTGAAGTCAGACGCTTAACCGACTGAGCCACCCAGGCGCCCCCCTTCATCGTTTAATCAGATGTAGTGCAGTGTATTCCATTCACTCTCACAGAAAAGCTGCAAGACAGGTACTGATTTCCTGTTTCACAGACGAAGAAACTGAGGATCAAGGAGGTTAAATGTTTCGGTCAAGGTCACAGAGCAAGTGGCCAAGGCAGGTGTGACCTTTCCTGATACCAGAGCATAATCTTTCCAGGGGCCTTACTGTGCCTTCTTCAAATTTTTAGAATCTTTACTGCTTGAGGGTGATTGTTACAGAAGAATGTGTAAATTTGTTCCTGCATTCTTTGAAAAAAAATTCTGGAAATTATTAATAGACCCCCCCCAAATGCGGAGAGAATTAATGATAAAGCCTATTTGGAAAGCCGCTTGGGCATTTATATAAAAATTTAGATGTGCTTATCCTTTAACCCAGAGATTCTATTTCTAGAAAACTTATACTTCGAAAAAAGCTTGGCATAAAGTCACAAATATGTCTATAGAGTAGCTAATTCTTTCCTGTATCCAGTTTCAAAAACAATAACATCTTAGTAGCAATACAAATATTTCTTTAAAAAATTTTCCCTGTGTCCTTGCTCACCTCCTCCATGGGGTGATATCTGGTATAGGAATAGGCGTCCAGGCCTCTCCTCTGGCTCACTGTCTCTTCCACAACCTCTCGTCTGTGTTGTGCTAGGAATCTGCAGAAGAAAGCCAGACTGAAAGCAGGGAAGAAACTCGGATGTCCTGAACAGTGAAAAGCTGATAAAAAGGTGGTCAGAAGCGATGTGAACAGGATTTGGAGGAGAGAAATTCAATGTTAGCGTCTTCTCGCTGTGACTTACTGACTGTGAGACCTTGGGCAACAATTGAGTCTCTCCAAACTGTAGTTTCTTCATCAGTTGAGTGAGGGGAGGACAGCCACTCCAATCTTGCAAGGAAGCTGAGATAATTCAGTGAGATGTTGTGGACTAACATACTTTTAAATTTGTAAAAGAAGTAACAGCTATGATTTATTGAACTGAAACTTATCATGAGACACTCAAGCAATTTTTTTTATTTTTTTTTAATGTTTATTTTATTTCTGAGAGAGAGAGAGAGACGGCAGCAGGGGAGGGGCAGAGAGAGAGGGGAGACACAGAATCCGAAGCAGGCTCCAGGTTCTGAGCTGTCAGCACAGAGCCCGACACGGGGTTCGAACTCACGAACCGTGAGATCATGACCTGAGCGAAAGTCGGGCGCTTAACAGACTGAGTCACCCAGGGAGACACTCAAGCAATTTAAATCTCCTTCACTTCTCTTGACCACTCTGGGATAGGTACTCATAGTATCCCCATTTCAGAGATGAAGAAATTGAGTCACAGGGAAAGTGTTGGGATTGACGATAACAGCCTGATTGAAGAGCCTGCAGTATTCTTTAAACTATTTTTAAAATGTTTTTGAAGTATGATTAACATACAGTGTTACATTAGTTTCTGTTATACAATATGGTGATTCAACAATTCTATACATTTCTCAGTACCTATCATGATAAGTGCACTCGTAATCCCTTTACCTATTTCACCCGTATCCCCATTCAGCTCCCCTCTGGCAGCCATCAGTTTGTTCTTTGAATTTAATAGTTTGGTTTTTCTGTTCGTCTCTTTTTTTCTTTGTTCGTTTGATTTGTTTCTTAAATTCTACATATGAGTGAAATCACGTGGTATTCGTCTTTCTCTGTCTGACTTATTTCATCTAGCATTATGCCCTCTAGGTTCATCCAGGTTGTTGCACACAGTAAGATCTCATTCTTTTTTACGGCTGAGGACTATTCAACACATGTATTATAATAGGAGAAGATAGGCTAAAATAGGCAGAGAGGAAAGGATTAGGATCTGAGTTCACGGTGGGGGGGGGGGGGGGGATAATTTTTTTTAAAAAAACGGGGGGTGGGTCACCACACAACAAACCCCCCCCAGGGTTTAGGCCCCTTTTAATTATTTAAACCCCCCCCCCCCCCCCCACCTCTGATTTCCCTCAGGAATTTGACAAAAGACCTAGGTTCCGCCAGAAACACCCCTCATACAATGGAAACTAGCCAATCGGGGACGGAGAACTCAGCACCTAGCCAACAAGGGTAGAACGTGAGAAGGAACAAGGGAGAAGTGAAGGGGAGGGGGAGGGCTGACCAGAACCTTATAAAACAAGGACCCTTGCCTATAGTCCTGGGGCATTCACTTCTGAATGTCCCTTCTCTGTAAAGAGAGCTTTCCTGCTATTCTTCCTTTCTAATCTTATACTCTGATAAACTTTTGCCTGCTGCTCATTTTGTGTCCACCTCTTCATTCTTTAAAGTGGCAAGACAACAAATCCCGGGTATTGTGGTAAAAAAAAAAATCCTCCAACAGTATTGTATATTTATAATACTCCATTATATAGATACATATATAATGTGTGCATATATATATACACACACACATACACATACACACACACACACACATATATATATCCACCACCAGCCCCCCCCACACATATCAGTAACCCACATCACAGTGGAACATTTGTTGTATTCAATGAACCAACATCAACAGACACATCTTTATTTTTCAAAGTCCATAGTTTACATTAGGGTTTACTCTTGGTGTTATACATTCTATGGATTTAAACAAATGTATGATGAACTGTATCCACCATTGTAGTATCATAGAGTCTTACTGTCCTAAAAATCCTCTGTGCTCTGTTAATCCCTGTCCCCCATCCCCCAACCACTGACAAACATTGATATTTTTACTGTCTTCATTGTTTTGCCCTTTCCAGAATGTCACAGAACTGGAATTACACAGGGTGTAGCCTTTCAGACCGACTTCTTTCGCTTAGTAGCATGCATTTAACTTACCACCATGTCTGTTCATGGCTTGATAGCTCATTTCTTTTTAGAGTTGTCTCACATTTCATTGTCTGGAATTACCACGGTTCATTTATCCATTCACCTACCAAAGGACATCTTAATTGCTTAACTGGCAATCATGAACAAAAATATCACAAACATCTGTGTGCAGGGCTTTGTGTGGACATAATTGCCAATTCATGTGGGTAAATCCCAAGACACATGATTACTGGGTCATATGGTTAAGAGTATATTTAGTTCTGTAAGAAATTACCAAATTGTCTTCCAAAGTGGCTATACCATCCTGTGTTTCCACCAGCAATCTCTGAGAGTTCCTGTTGCTCTACCTTCTTCACCAACATTCGGTGTTGTCACTGTTCAGGATTTCGCCCATTCTAAGTATGTAGTGGTATCTCATTGTTTTCACTTGCGGTTCCCCAATAACATGATGTTGAGCATCTTTTTGTACCCTCACTTGCCATCAGTAGATCTTCTTTGGTGAGGTATATGTTCTGGTCTTTGGCACATTTTTAACTTAGGTTTTTAATTTTCTTATTGCTGTTTTAAGAGTTCTTAGTATATTTTTAAATAATAGTCCTTTATCAGACGCATGTTTTGCAAATATTTTCCCCCAGTTTATGGCTTGTCTTCTCATTCTCCTGAAATTGTCTTTTGCAGAGTAGAGTTTTTTAATTTTAATGAAATCCAAGCTATCAATTATTTCTTTCATTAATTGTGCTTTTGGTGTTGTATTTAAAGTCTTGCATTATCTTCTAGAAGTTTTATGGTTTTGCATTCTACATTTAGGTCTGTTAATCCAATTTGAGTTCATTTTTATGAAGGGTGTAAGGTCTATGTCTAGATTCACTTTTTGTTGTTTGGCATGTAGATACCCACTTGTTCCAGTACCATCTGTTGAAAAGAGTATTTTGCTCTATTGTGTTATCTTTGTTCTTTTGTCAAAGATCAATTAATTATATTTACGTGGGTCTATTTCCGGGCTTTCTATTCTGTTCCAGTGATCTATTTGTCTCTTCTTTTCATCGATACCACACTGTTTTCATTACTGTAACTTTATCATAAGTCTTGAAGTCAGGTAGTTTCAGTCCTGCAACTTTGTTTTTCTTCAATATTGCGTTGGCTATTCTGAGTCATTTGTCCCTCCATATAAACTCTAGAATCAGTTGGCCAATATCCACAAAATGACCTTCCGGGATTCTTATTGAGATTTCATTGAATCTATAGATCAACTTGGGAAGAATTGACAATAGTGAGCCTTCCTATCTATTAATAGGGAACATCTCCCCATTTATTTGGTTCTTCTTTGATACCTTCCACTAGAGCTGTATAGCTTTTCTGATATAGATCTTGTGCATATTTTTTTAGGCTTATACCTAAGTATCTTATTTTGGGAGGTGATAATATAAATGATAATATGCTTTTATTTTCAAATCTCTCTTATTCATTGCTGTTATATACAAAAGCAATTGACTTTTGTACATCAACCTTGTGCCTTACAACCTTGCTTAATTGCTTCTTAATTCCAGGATGGGTTTTTTGTCAGTTCTTTCAGATTGTCTACATGGGTGATCATGTCATCCGTGCACATAGTTTTCTTTCTTCCTTCCCAGTCTGTATACCTTTTATCTCCATTACCTGTCTGATGGTATTAGCTAAAACTTCCAGTGCAACGTTCTAAAGTAGTTGTGAGAGTGGACATCCTTGCCTTGTTTCTAATCTAAGCGGAATGTTTCTAGTTTTTCACCGTGAAGTATGATGTTAGCTGTAGATTTTTTTGTTGCTACTCTTTACGATGTAAAGGAAGTTCCCCTCTATTCCTAGTTTACTGAGTTTTTATCAGGAATGGGTGCCGGTGTTTGTCAAATGCCTTTTCTGTATCTATTGATTCTGCATCATATGAGTTTTTATTTCTTTGCCTATTGGTGTGATGGATTTGCATTAGTTGATTATCAAACATTAAACCAGCTCTACATGCTTGAGACAGATTTCAGTTGGTGGCTGTGATGTATAATTATTTTTATATATTGTTGGATTCAACTTGCCAGTATTTTGTTGTAGATTTTTATATCTATGTTTATGTGAGATATTGATCTGTAGTTTTGTTTTGTGTTTTTTTCATAATGCTGTTTTTCTGATTTTAGTATTCGGGTAATGCTGATCTCATTAAATAAGTCAGGAAGTATTTCTTCTGTTTCCGTCTTCTGATACAGACTGTACAGAATTGGTAAAATTTTCTTTCAGTGTTTGGTAGAACTCATCAAAGGCCCCATTGGGGCCTGAGCTTTCTGTTTTGGACAGGTATTAATTATTAATTATATTTCTTTAATAAATATAGGCCTACTCAGATTGTCTATATATTCTTCATCTTTTGATAAACAGTTTAATAAAACTATTCAGTTCCGCTCCTCTATGTCAGATATTGTGCCAGCACTTAAGAGAATATATTCATGCACGTTATATAATTTATTCTCATTACAACCCTGTGAAATGTTATCACCCATGTTTTATGAATAAAACAACTGAGGCCAAGAGAAATTCAGTAACTTGCAAATGGTTGCGGAACTAGTAAGTCGAACAGCTAGTACCCTATCTCTAAGTCATGCAACTGTTTGATAAATATTTTAGTTCCCTAGCTAAAAGGCTTTACTTAAGCAAGAAGTATATAATATTTTCATTATGAGCACATACTAACTGATACTTCATTCACCCAACAAATATGTATGGAGTGATTATCATATTAAGAGCACTAGGATGTGAGCCTTTGGAGAAGCTGGGGTGTGAACTTTTGGATTGTGACCTTGCACTGCAAGG